TAATTATAACTTCAATAATTTTCCGTATTGAATAAGTTATATTGATATCGATCACAATCTAATATGCAAAATCGTCCTTTAATTTGTAATAGTCAAATCCAATCAAGAGTAAAATGATAACATCATCCTTAACTAAACAAAAATAAAATTGAGGCTTACCATAAATCAATCAAAGATTGGGTATGAATTACTTTACGATGTGGTGAGAATTTAAACAAATCCTGCAATATGTAAAATTATTGATACATTAAATTTTATCAACTTGCAAAATAAAAAATGCCTAAAAATTAAATAATAATATAAATCCTAAATTCTAATATGAATCATCAAACTCACCTAACAAAGAATTACCTTTATACTCAAATAGTTATTCACCATTTGTTTCACTTTGCAATGCCTACATAAAAAAAAAAAAAAAGTAATTACCAAATTCACACACACAAAAATGAAATAAAAAATAAAGTAAAGAAGAGTGAGAGAGGCAAAGGGATTAAGGAGAGGAGAGGGAGTTACAGAAAAAGAAATGGGTTAAGGGGAAAGGAAATGGGATGTGTGTGTGCGTGTTTTAGTAGGAATGGGTGGGAAGGAGGGTAGTTATTTCATTTTGATTGGATTTGAAAGGTTTTTAGGGGGAAATTAATTATATTTTTAAGCTTTTTAAATATTTTGGAGGGAGAGGTATTAAGTTTTGGTTGAGTTGGGTCAAAATAAAAGATAAAAAGATTTTTTTTTATTACATAGAACAAGCTTTTATTTTTAAATTTTTATTAATTTGTAATGACTATTGATTAAAACGTTTCACCTTAAAAAATCAACAAGTACTATAAAAGCTTAAATAAACTTTAATTAGTTGAACGAGTTTGAAGTTTAGTGGAATTTGAGGTATCACTATTCTTCTTTGATATACACGTGAAGGAACATTTTGACGCGATTGTTGATTGATATATATATATATATATATATATATATATAATTTGATAATTATAAAATTTAAAATTTTGAGTTATGATAACCAAAATCACTAAATAATACAAAGTAAAGTATAACCATATTAGATAAAATGTTGAAGTGAAATTACATCTACAAAGTAAAAAAAAATATTCAAAAAATATTTTAATAGATAAAAGAAATAGAGGATCAAAAAATTACAATCAAGTTAAAATGAAGAAGGAAAAGGGTGTGAATATATGATGAAATTAACTTTCAATATCAAATGTATTGTATTATATAATTTGAAAAAAGATTAAAATAAAATAAAATAAATAAAGTAACGAATTTAACAATTTTTTGGGGGTAGATAATCGCCACAAATAATATTAAATTGTGGTGATTTTCTAACCTCCTTAATAAAACCACCACAAAAAGTTTTATATTGTGGGGGTCAAAAGAAAATGTCACAAAATGAATTATACGTGGGATTTCTAAAAACTCCCGCAAGTTAATTGCTACAAATTAAGCATTTTTTTGTAGTATATATATATATATAATAACATGATATCATTGACTGTTGATCAAACCTTCAAGGGGGAAATCATAATTTCTCAATGATATCATCACAATATATCATTTACTAGCATGGTATCATTAAGAATTGTTTCATATAATCAGTAACAATCCTCATATCATGTATGATACCATCACAGTATATGAACATATTGTTATGGTAGCACTAAGGTTTTCTTCCTTTATTCATTCACAAAATTACTCATGCATTAATGATACCATGACAATATCATATATTTCTATGATATCAATAAGGTTTCCTACGTTCATTCATGTACAACCAACTCATTGCTCAATGATACCAACACATTATACATATAATAACATGATATTATTGAGTAATGAGCAGTCTTTCAAGGGAGAAACTTATAATTTTTCAATGATACCATCACAACATACCATATATTGACATGGTATCATATGCCAACTTCATATAATTTGTAACACTCGCCAACTTATGTATGATACTATCACAATATATGAATATGTTGTTATAGTTGCACTAAGAATTCCTTCTGTCCTTCGATGAGACCTTCCTGATACTATAAAAATATATCTATATATTATCATGATATTTACTTCAGTCCATTGGTGAGCCCTTCATGATATCATCACAATATATTTGGCATCATTCATGAGGAATTCTTCAATCCTACTGTGAGACCACCATTATGTCGTCACACTATAATTACGTACATTCTTTTATGGTATCATTGAGATTTGCTTTAGTGCTTAATGATACTATTGTGGCTTTGTGGTATCATAGAGGTTTGGTCTAATCCTTTAATGAGACACTCTGTAGTCATTCTTAATTATTTATTAATATATTTGTTTATTATTTTATTTTTACTTTAATTTTTTTCAGTCTAAAAATAATAAGATAATAGTTTTTTTATATTTTTCTATCTTTAAAAAGAAATGTAATAAAAGAAGATAATCTAATAAAAAACAAAAAATTGTGTCTCTATTAATTTAGATTTTATTAAATAATTAGTAAATTCAATATTCCTTATAACTGTTTTTATTGTCAGCTAATTATTTATTTTATATATCATTTTAGTAAAACATAATCAACCATTAAAACTATGTTTATATTCAAATAAAAGAAAGAAAAAATAACATAAAAAGAAAAAAATACACAAAAATAAAATAAACCAAATAATAAATGAGAGGGGACAAAAATAATCAGTCAAAAGACAAAACTAATAGTAAATTTAAGTACAAAGACAATAAATAACAGGACAGAAACAATAAGTTGAAGTATGGAAAAGGGTCATATTTGTTATAAAATATTATATTGTGGATGTCCACTACACCAAGAAGTTACTCTCACCCATTATCTCCATTACTTTTCTCCATTATGAAGATAACCATAACCTCCAACTTTATAATCATAATTCTTGTAACATTTCACTTCCATAACCTCCTCCATTATATTCATGTTAATGTCATGTTTATGACTAACCTTTTGTATGCCTCTATGTTACACTATAAATAGATCAGAGGCATAAGGGTTCATATTGTACAGACTTGAAGATTTGGTGTACTCTTGAAGAGTTGGAATAATAAGAAAAGCTCTCATCTCTTGTCTCCATATTTCTATTATTTTCATCTTCTATATTTCTTGTCTTATTTTTCTTTAGTTTTATAACAATATTTGCCTTGTACTTTTAGAATAAGGTTATTGATCGTAAACTAAAGAAGCTCAATCATGAATGAAAGATTTAGAGAAGAGAATGAGAAAGAAGAAGAAGAGAGGAGAAGATTTCATACATCGGCTTAAAGCAAAAATACAATGGAGAGTAGCTATTTATAGAGCTATCCTTGTAACTACTTTGATAACAGTGCATTGAGCTAGTTATAACTAACTCTTCTTGATAGACTAAATTGCCCTTTTTGTTACTAACTAACTATTAACACTAATGTCACCTACTTTACATCACAACACTCTCCTTCAAGCTTGGTGGTGCAAAAATGTCTAGCACTCCTAGCTTGGATAGTAGGTGTTCATGTTGAAGTCTAGATAGTCCTTTGGTCAATACGTCTGCAGGCTGATCTCTTGTAGAAAGATAATTCAAGTTGATTAATCATTGTTGTAGTTTCTCCCTTATAAAGTGACAATCGATTTCAATAAGTTTTTTCCTTTCGTGGTATACTGAATTTGCAGCAATTTTAATCGTTGTTTTACTGTCACTGTAAACTTGGACTGGCAATTGAACTTCAACTCCTACTTCTTTCAGCAATCCAACCAACCATACTAACTCTGACACAGTGGAGGCAAGGCTCCTATATTCAGCTTCAACTGAGCTTTTCGACACTGTTGTTTGTTTCTTTGCCTTCCAAGAGACTAATGACTGACCAACTTTCACCATATACCCTGTTACAGACTTCCTGGTTAACATACAGGAAGCCCAATCAGCATCACAGAAGGTAGTCACCAACTCATCTGAGTTACTGGACAATAACAAACCTTGTCTAGGTTGTCTCTTTATATATCTGACTACTCTTAGTGCAACATCAAGGTGTGACTTCTTTGGTTTCTGTAAGAATTGACTAAGAGTTTGTGTACTGAATGTTATATCAGGTCTTGTCATATTCAAATACAACAACTTGCCTATTAATCTTTGATACATTGTTTGATCTACCAAGGGATCCTCTGTCTCTGTCTGACCCTTCTTTACATGGTCATCATATAATTTTGATGTTAGTTTAACATTGATGCCAATAGGGGTTCCTGCAGGTTTGGTTGCTGATAAGCCAACCTCAGATATAAGCTCAAGAGCATACTTTCTCTAATGCATTAATATGCCATCTGTTGATCTAGTGAATTCAATTCCTAGGAAATACTTTAACTCACCCAGATCCTTCATCTTGAATGCTAGTTGCAGTGTCCTCTTTGTGTCTTCTACCAGCTTTAGGCTACTGCCAGTTATCAACATATCATTCACATACACAAGTACTATAATGATCCCCTCTTCTGCTTTGTTAATAAACATGGAATGATCATGTTGGCTTTGTTGAAACTTCAGTTTAAGTAGTGCTTCAATCAGTTTATGATTCCATTGTCTAGGGGCCTGTTTGAGACCATAAAGGGATTTGGTCAGCCTACATACCTTATCCCCTTGACTGACAAACCCCTTTGGCAATTGCATATAGATCTCATCATCTAAGTCACCATGCAAGAAGGGATTAAACATATACATTTGATGGATATGCCAATGCCTTGAAGTTGCAAGTGACACAATGGTTCTGACTGTGACCATCTTAACTACTGGAGAAAAAGTTTCCTTGTTCTATCCCTTCCTGTTGGCTATACCCCTTAGCCACCAGCCTTGTTTTAAATCTCTCAACCTCACCAGTAGATATATACTTGACTTTGTAAATCCATCTACAACCTATAGGTCTCTTGCCAGGTGGTAGATCAATTATCTCCCAAGTATGATTACTTTCAAGGGCCTGAATTTCAGACTGCATAGCATCCACCCACCTTTGATCTTTCACAGCTTCAGAGTAGGTTCAGGTTCTTTGATTATAGAGGTAGCAACAATGTTAGACTGATAGGAATATGAGAGATGATCATAGCTTATATTGTTGCAAATGGAGTGGGGAACAACCTTATTGAGAGGGCATGAGACAAAGTCTTTCATCCAAACTGGAGGTTGTTTATGTCTAGAGGATCTTCTAGACTCAGAAACCAACCTAGAACCATTAGGAATAGAATTTGCTACTACTTCATCAGGAGCCACCTCAGGACCAGGTATTACATTACTTAAAGGCAACTCAGTCTCATCATGTGGAACTCGAGAAGGGCATGCAGTGGTAGGACACTGAAGGGACAACATGTAATCTAGACTAGGAGTGGCTGCAGAATCATGTAGAGAGTCTGGGAATAACTTCTCTTGAGCAGGACTAGACACCTGAGCAAAATGGAACTGATCCTCTCTAAAAACCACATCTCTACTTACAAAAAATGATATTTTACCTAGATCAAGGAGAATATATCCTTTCTGAATTTCAGAGTATCCCATGTGAACTGCAGACCTGACCCTTGGCATTATTTTTTCATGTTCAGTCAAATGTTTGGCAAAGTACAAACATCATATAGTCTTGAGGTGAGTCAATACTGGTTGTCGACCATACAGCCTCTCGTAAGGTGTCTCATACTTAAGTACACTACTAGACAACCTGTTAATGAGATAAGTGGCAACTAACACACATTAACCCCAATATCTCAATGGTATGTTAGCCTGAAATCTGAGTGCTCTTGTGACCTCAAGTAAATGCCTATGTTTCCTTTCAACAACACCATTTTGCTGAGGAGTATGAGGACATGATCTTTGATGCAGAATGCCCATTTCCTTGAACATACTTATACACACTGAGCACCATTGTCATACCTTAAAATTTTGACTTGTTTCTCAAACTGAGTTTTAACAAACAAAAGGAATTCTTTAATAGAAACACACACAACTGACTTATGTTTGAGCAAAATAACCATGTCATCCTAGAGAAGTCATCAACAATGGTAAGAAAATACTTGCTACCATCAACTGTAGGTGTAGCATAGGGTCCTCAAACATCAACATGTATCAAATCAAAACAAGCTGTAGTTTTTATACTACTCACAAGAAAAACTAATCTAGTTTGTTTAGCATAAGGACATACAGAACAATTAGTCACTTTACACATAGTTTGTTGACTTATAGCAAACATCCTTGCAAGAACTGCAGAAGACACATGTCCCAGTCTTTGATGCCATAACTCCATGTCTACTGCCTTTGTATTATTGACAGTAAATGCAACTTCTTTTCCAGGACTTGAATCACTTTTATTGGTGAAGTGCTTCATTAGTAGATACAAACCACCTTCTTCCTTACCAACTTCCTTCACCTTCCCACTGCAGAGCTCCTGAAAAACACATAAGTTAGAAAAGAATGTGATAGAACACCCTAACTCCTTTGTGAGTTGACTGATTGATAACATATTGTACTTGAAGTCAGGAACATGCAATTCATTAGTGACCAGACTTCTGGTTGATAAAGCACATGAACCAACATGAGATACTTGTATGGTAGTACCATTTAGTAGATACACAAGTTTAACTTCTGCAAGCTTTGACACTGAATCTTCCACCATCATGTCCAAGCTAGAGACCATATGATTTGTTACACCTGTATCAACAATCCATACTTGACTGTGATTAATAACAGAAGAAGTTTTACCTGAAGTACTAGCAGTGTTGCAAGCAGAAACAGTAGAAACATCTGATTTCTGTTGAACCATCTTCAAAATATGATCATATTGGTCTTTTGTAAATGTGCAACCATGTAACATCTGTTGAACCTCTCTCTCAGCTTGACTTATTCTATTTGGAGTAATAGTAGATGACACTTCAGGAGCATGACCATTCATAAGTTGTTGTTGGTTAAGTGAGATTCCCCAGCCAGGTGGAGGAATATTTGTATTGAGACCATATGTAAAGTTGGCATGGGTTGATAGATAATGACTAGAAGGACTGCTAGCTTGTGGACTAGACCCCCCTTGTACCTTCCTTTTGGATTTAAAATCAGGAGGATAACCCACTATTTTATAGCAAAACTCTTTGCTATGACCTTTACACTTGCAAAAATCACATATTAGTAGGGAATTCCTTTTGACCTTCTGATTCACACCAGAGCTACTACCAACACCTGAACTACTACCAGCTTTTGAGTACATAGCAACAGAGGAATCCAAACTGATAGATGTCATTCCCAAACTAGTAGTACAGGTTACCACAACCTTTTGACATTCATCTCCAACTATCATAGAATACACATGATTAATTGTTGGTAATGGATCTAGCATAAGAATCTGACTCCTGGCTTGTTGATAGGATTCATTCAATCCCATTAAAAACTGATATACCTTCTGTCTGTTCATGTGAGTCATAAATTTTGAAATCTCACAATTGCAACAAGGAGTTGGCACTAATATCTCAAACTCATCCCACAGAGTTTTAAGCCTTGTGTAATACTCAGAAACAAATGCAGTACCCTGCTGTATAGAAGATATGTCTTTGTGCAAACTATAGGTTCTAGAACCATCTACTCGATCAAACCTTTCTCTTAGATCAGTCCAAACATCAAACGCACTAGAGGCAAATGCAAGACCACTCAACAAACTTTTGGACACAGAGTTCAACAACAAGGACAACACAATTGCGTTCACCCTTTCCCAATGTCCCCACAATTCTACACCATACATTTCCTTTCTAACAGTTCAATCAATTAACCCACACTTATTTCTTCCTAACAATGCTAAACGAATAAATCTATCCATAGCATATAATTTTCATTACCAAGCAATTGAAACGAAATCAAGCTAATACCACTAACATCAGTAGGATTAAGAAACAGAGGATGATTATAAACAATACCTTGTCCTTGCACTGAACTGCTAGTTTGAGAAATAAAAGTTGCGGATCCATTTTGAGGTAGATCAGTCGAATTACTTTCAGGTGCCATTTATGATCAAATTGAGCTTCAAATCGCGGAAACAAATAGCTAATCAGTATAGCTAACAGTTCAAACACAAACAATACAGATTCCAGCCTTATCTTAAACTACGATATGTGACCACCTTTAACACACTTCCATGAATCAATGAATCAGATAATTGATTCTTTGAACAATACCGACTTCAGCTTCTAATCAGACTGAAGCACAAAGCTCTGATACCATGATCGTAAACTAAAGAAGCTCAATCATGAATGAAAGATTTAGAGAAGAGAATGAGAAAGAAGAAGAAGAGAGGAGATGATTTCATATATCGGCTTAAAGCAAAAATACAATGGAGAGTAGCTATTTATAGAGCTATCCTTGTAACTACTTTGATAACAGTGCATTGAGTTAGTTATATCTAACTCTTCTTGATAGACTAAATTGCCCTTTTTGTTACTAAATAACTATTAACACTAATGTCACCTACTTTACATCACAACAGTTATAGTTGCCCTTTGTCATACTTTTTTGGTTAATTTGTTCGTGTCATCCAACTTTGGACACATATTTATCCCTGGACTATTAAGTTTCATATCACCACTTCTATCATCCTACGTAACACCTACATAGATAAATATATTTAGTTCACTTAAAATTTCCTCCTAATTTAATTATTATGTCCAATCAATATTATAGAGGGACTTCAACTCTAACCGATTGAAAAATGACGAATTAGAAATGGATTCGTTTACGGTCTTACTATGTGGAAATACAATGAAGACTATGAGGTTTTTTGTATTAGAACATTTTTTTACATTCGTGATTTTAGTAATTGGATATATGTTAAGAATAATTAATGGGTTACTGATTTATTAAATTATTTTGTTTGTTATTGTTCAGGTGATGGTACCATTTCAAGCCCTGCTATCCTATGGAATAATCGTTGATGCAGTTTGTCTTGGAAATAAATTTGATGACGTTTATCGCACGGTTGTCCATAAAATTTTTGGTTACCAGATTTTTTCTTAAAAATAATTAGAGCATGATATAAATGGTTCATATAGTAGATCTCACCTTATTTGGGATTGAGTTGGAGTTGAATCAAATTGGAAAACTGATTATTATTTTCTTATGTGTATACCTAATTGAATCATGTTGGATTACATTGAATCATAATATTTTCGTCTACAGATTGGAAGTTTTATTTGTTAAATTGGTGGTTATAATATTGATTGGGTATAAAAGGACAAATATATCCCGAACTATCGTAAATGGTATCCAAATACTTTTCGTTATACTTTTTGGACATTGATGTCCTTACCGTCCAAATTTTGGGACTTATATAACCTTTCTACTAATGGCGGGACACGTGTCGCAATCTAAAACGTCTATCCAAATTTTATGAAATTTCAACCCATAAATAAAAGACCCACCCAGATTAATTAAAAAGCCCACCCAAATTATAACCCAAAACTTCTCTAAACACTTATCATCTTCTCCACCAAATCCAAATTAAAAGGCTTCCATTTTCTTCCACACCAAAACCCTAGAACTCCCCATTCGCACTCCCAAACTCCACCACTACCGAGCAACTTTCCTCTGCCCTCTTACCACCATTGAAGCACCGAAGAAGGTAGTCAAGCTTGGAGTTTCAGCCGCATCTTTGGATCCGCAGTTGTCGTCAATGCCCCTGGTCGAGCAGCAGATGCACCAGTTGTGATTGAGGAAAAGAAATAATTTGATGTAGTATTCAATGAAATTCATAGTAATGCTAAAAATGTGACTATTATATTTAGCTTTTAAAAAGTAATTTAAAAGAATTTATAATGGAGGTCAAATAATTCTTTCTTCTCCTCAACCACAACCACAACTTGGAGGTCAAAGAATTTGACGTGCTCCATTGCTACCAAAGTTTTAGGAGAAAAAAAGTGTTTATAGTGGAGTATTATAAATTATTTTTATAAATATAAATATAACAAAAATTCATCTGACAGTTGCTAACAAAAATTCTTTTAGGTTTGTTTATAATCAATTGAGGATCAAAATGGGTTTATGAAATTGCATTTGCTAACAAAAAATCATGTGGGTCTGTTTATAATGGAATTGAGAATTAAAATGGGTGGATAAAAGAGTAGATGATTTTGGGTTATAATTTGTTTGTGGGTTTTAATAAATCCGGGTGGTTTTTGGGTAGGCGTTTTTAGATCCCGTCGTTACTAGAAAGGTTATATATGTCCCAAAATTTGGACCGTAAGGACATCAGTGTCCCAAAGGTATAACGAAAGATATTTAGATACCATTTACGATAGTTCGGGGGTATATTTATCCTTTTTCCTTAATTCAATTAGGAGGAGATTTTAAGCAGATTATATATATATATAACACCATGTAGGATGATAAAAGTGGAAACGTGAAACTTAATAGTCTAAGGATAAATATGTGCCTAAAGTTGTATGACAGAGGCAAATAAGTCAAAAAAGTATGATAAGGGCAAATATAACGTTTTTGTAAAAATACAAGGGGAAATATGATCCTTTTTCGATTAAAGTACAAAGTCAATAAATGATAAAATAAAAATAATAACTGAAGTACAAAGACATAAATGACAAGACAAAAAAGAAGAACAAAAGAACCACTGGTCCGTGCAAACAAGGGGTATCTCAAGTAAATTATTTGGGTCGTGGTCCGATAAGGATAAATATACGAGTAAATTTCGCAAATAGCTACTATAGAAAATTTAATTAGGCTCCTTAGCTAGAGATTGCATAATTACGGGTTGTAGCTACAATTTCAGTTGTTATGGGCATTCTCTTTTGTATAATTCACATGTTTTTATTAATTTATACAGTTCAGAATTCAATTTTATTTTATTAAAATGAGAGGCAATTTTGATTAAAAATGGTAAACAATTCCATAAATAACAGAATAGTATCTCATTAGGGTTTCATACCAAATATGACTTCCTCCATATTAACAACACGATTCTTTCTAGTTTATGAAATCGACGTGTGTAACTAAAAAAAATCAATTAGTTTCTTTGTTGATTATACAAATCGTACATGATTCAATGAATTCACGTCCTTTTTTGTGTTCTGAATCAATCAAATCAAATTACTTATAGATGAGTTATGTAATTTGTTGAAATTGTATTTGTAACAATATTTATTGAAGATTTGGTCAAAATTGTATATTATTTGATTTGTATTCACTTCGACTTTTTAAATTTTCATAATGAATCCATTGATAATTGATGTTCTGGTGGAAGAACGATTTTCAATTGTATTTGAATTGAATAAGTAAGAAGAAGATATATTTATAATAATATAATTAAGCTATCTTTGTACGTATTTGTATAAGCTAGTACGTACCAGTTTGATTTGTATAAATTGTTGCGCTAAAATGATTGAATGCATCTTCAGGCAGACACTTGCGTAAGTCATCTATTATACGGATATTATTCCATTATACCAATATTTGTATTAACATTGCTTATGAGGGGCATTAATTGGAGCTTGTTTGAGAATAAATTGTACTCCCTAACAAATCATGTCAAAAATGAAATAATCAGAAACAAATCCCAAACATTAAACAAAATATATACAAATATACAATTATGGTAACTATATACAATTTTGGAATTATACAAGGACAAATATACAATTGTGATAACCGTAGACAATTTCAGAATTATACAAATATGAGTACAACGATACAACCAGGGTAACTATATATAATTCAAAATTATACAAATATGAGCACAACTATACAATCAGGCTAACTATACACAATTTTAAAATTATACAAATATAAATACAACTGTAGATCTTTTTTTTTTTGTAATAATAGGATGTTATATTAATAAACTTAAAACATAAGCGTCATTACATCAACAGTGCCCGATGTACTGCCAGCATTCAAATGTAGCCTCTCACATCTATGTGAGCTATTAACTAGATTACATATAGACATTCCTGGATGTTCTACCAACGGTTGATTCTTATCAAAATTAAATGCTTCTACTATAAATATAGGTGGGGTAAACCATTCTTCAACAAAAACTCCATCTGGTAGCCTTCTCCCCCTTTGTGCTAGCTCCCTGAGATCATGCTGGATCATTGGGTTACTCTGTTGTTTGAAATTATATAAATTTCTGAATTATATAAATATCATAAATCTCAAAAAATTGTTTGAAGTTATACAAATATAACCATCAAAACTTTAAAAAGTTAAACAAAAATGAATTAATTGTATATGATGATAAAACTGAAAAATCAAAGAAAATCACCATCATATATAAATACAAGTCAAACGAAGAAGAATGAAACCACCAAAGCAAATAAAAAATGGAAACCGCACAATTGTTGCCCTGAAAATTTGAAATCACGAATTGAGAGAAAAAGAATGAAATTTTCAAATTTTCAAATCTATTTATGTTGAGTGAATTAAGGAGAAAATAAAGTAAAAGGATTATGGAGAGAGAAAATAGATTTTGTATAATAGGTCGAAATTGAAATGACTGCCTTATACAAATTTAAAACGCAACTCACATAATTATCGCTAAATGTTAGTTGCGAATTGTATATAGGTTAAATGGAGTGATTGAAATTGTCACCTGTACTTGCGAGCAACGTTAATGACTTTTGTGTGTGTTCCGAATTCCGATCATTGTGGAATAAATAAAAGGTAACCTCCATAGTTTTCTTCAGTTTGAGGTGAGGTAATCCAAAATCAGACGAACACTAGTGTGACCAGAGCATCGAATGAATACGTCGCAGTATATGGATAAACAGATCATGGATCTATCGAGCTCACTCAGCAACAATGACTTCATCAACCTTCACGACGACCAACATCACATCACCGGCGGTGTAAAGGGGGAAAACCATCCTGTTCGCCCAATTGAATCGTTCCCCAATTATAACATTGATTGGATTCAGGTTGATGGAGCTAGGGCTTGGAATTCTGCTGATACCAAAACCAACACTGTAATCGCTCCTCTCTATCTTTTTTACATGCTTATGTAT